ATAGCCGTCTTCATCACAGCTGGGGACGTACATGCCTGGAAAACACACACAGTGTCCTCGTTAAATATTCATGTTGTGTGTGGTGGTGCTCTCGCAAAGCTCAAATGGGAATGACAGCGTGGCTTGTGGATCCGGGATATAAACCAGTGAGGAATGGCGCAAGACAGGACAAGGGAGGAGTTGGCTGGTGTTTTCAAATACGGACAAAAAAGGGGGGAGTTGAGAGAGAGAAAGGGATGGATGGAGTTTGAAAGAGAGAGAGATAAAGAAAGAGATGTGCTGTATAGAAAAGTGAGGGAGAGTTGAGAGACACTGAAAGAAAGGAAGGATGAAGGAGGGAGAATTGATAGGAGACAGTTGAGTGTGTGTGTGTGTGTGTGAGAGAGAGAAAGAGAGACAGTTGAGTGAGTGAGAGAGAGGGAGGGAGAAAAAATACAGAGAAACCAAGCAAGAGAGAGGGAGTTATGTAGAGAGAAAGACCGATGAAGAGGGAGAGAGGATCTTATTTTTTTGACAAGCCAGGATTTATTCTAGATTTATCCATCGATGTATTGACTCATCTCTCTCTCTCTCTCTCTAAGCTATCAGTGTGTCGTGTTAACAGCAATGTCAGTCCAGTGACATATCCGCTCGGTTTCAGCCTCCTCACATCAGACCAACCGACATACCAGGTGATTTCACGAATGGCCACAAACACAAAGGACATAGATGTTCTGAAGCCCGGATGGGGAACTAATTTCCTGGCTTCTGAACAGAGGAGTTGAGTTGGAAACAATGTTTTAAATGTTTTAAGCAGCTTGTTTTTCTATTGTTTTGTCTTGTCCTTGGCACCGGTGATCAACCTTCATTTTCTTCTCTGCCTTGGGTTCCTTGTACAGAGGGTGAAGTAAAACCACCACCCTGGCATTTATTCACTTGGTTGGCACCCATATTGACACGCCGTAACACACCGCAACACACGGTAACATACCGGAACATACGGTAACATACGGTAACACACGGCTGTGTGTTTGTGATCTGTTTAATGAGCATCCAGCAGCACGTTGATGCCAGTTTGCACCACATTTCACAACTACACACACACACACACGTTACACAACTACACACACACGTTACACAACTACACACACATGTTACACAATTACACAGACACATGTTACACAACTAAACACGCGTTACACTACTACACATGTTACACAACTACACACACACATTAGACAACTACACACACACGTTAGACAACTACACACACACGTTAGACAACTACACACACAGAACCACACACGTCACACCACTACGCACACACACAAGACATGACACACGTGTTCTGCTCCAGGCACCTTGATCCAAGACATGGCACATTTAACACGTTGGCAGCAGCAATAGCTCACACCGCCTACGACGAACGCGGCTGAGGAGAAGATCTGTGGGAAGATGTCCTACACAAACACCTTTATTCATTATACTAAACATATGCACGCCCAAAATAAGCAGCCGATTTATAAGCACGCGTGTGTTTGGCAAAGACACGCACCGTCACATGTTCTTCAGAGGTGGTACATACAGTACCAGTAGAAAACCCGAGCCACAGATGTTCTTACTGTTCTAGTCAGGTTCCCCTTAAGTGCACTAATCTGGACGGGAGCCCAGTTTATTTCCCACAACCATCCAGAACCGGGACAGAACTGTCTGAAATCCTGACGCTGACGCGGTGTCATCCCTAATATTCTGGGTTGGTTTGGGTCAGACGGACCCCATAAAATCCAATGAACAGAACTGTTGTGTCTCCTGGAACCATTGTAAAACATTGTGACATGGCGTGTTTTCCCGCCTGGTATTTTGGAAAATCCTTGTCACTTTCTCATAAGCAAGCTGTTTTCACCCAAAGGTGATGGCTGTTTTTTGCATTTAATCACTAGACGTGTGTATTCAGCTCTGACCCTATGAACTCCGGAATCTGGCGGCTTTCTTTTCAGCCTCATCTTTAATCTGGCGTCCCAGGTCTAAATAAGACCCCAATCTGAGGACTGCATAAAGAGAAACACATTTGAACTGGCCTCAATCTCCAGAGTTGAATTAGAGGTCTCCAGACAATGTTATCAGTTCCTGAGAACCTGAGACGACATGAGAACCTGAGAACCCGAACCGTTGAGCCTGATACCAACGATAATATGATCAACAAAGTCCCTTTGGTAGAACGTTCTGACGTTCCATCAAACAGTACCTAAATGTCTTGGTGTCTGCTTTATGCCTGCTTAAAGCCTGCTTGATGCCTTCTTGATATCTGCTTGATGCCTGCTTTATGTCTGCTTTATATCTGCTTTATGTAGCGCACCACATCCTCTTAGCTTATTGTCAGTAGGAGCAATCCATTTTTTTAAACTATTAAACATTTGAGTGTATGTGGCCTGGTCAGAAGGGAGTAGGACATCATTTTGGGCCGATCCTTCCTCCCCGTTATAAGGTTGACACTTACCTGGCTTCTTCTTGACCACTTCTTGCACCTGGATCCTCTCAAGTTCAGCCAGGCAAGGAGGCTCTAAAAGAGACCAGAGAAAACCCATTCAAACTGCTTTTAACCGCTCAATTTAAACTGTTCTACTTCATCGAATACTGTAATTTCTGTCAATCCATTCCAGTATTTTTTATTCGTTCATTATATATATATATAATATATATAATAATATATATATATATAAATAAGATGTTATTGATTGTCTTCGGTGGTGATTAAAAAACATAATTCTTTACCAGACTTTGAGACATAACAGATTTCTCAACTTGACAGATTCCTGCACACATTCTAAAGCGCCATCAGCTGTTGTAACGAGTGAGCCTCAAATCAGCTGCTTACTGTCAGTCCAAACATGTCCAGAAGATATACAGCTTATAACTGTGTATAGACTGGGTTAACCTAGTCTAATAAATGCGATACACATTAGCTACTACCAATTACTGAATAAATTGTGTAGGAATTTATTTAAAAAATATGATGGGTGTGAAGTGGGCTAATTACATTGATCTATGATAATAAAATATTAGGCCAAACAAACTTCTATTACCCTTTAATGTTTGCAATATGCGATTTTAATCATTATTGAGCTGAAACAACACATCCTAAAGAAACCCTTCGCTCAACACTGAAACATTTATTCATTTCTTCTCCACATCAAAGCAACGCAAACAGGGCATCCGTAAAGCAGCAATTCAACTTGCTGAATAATAAATTAACAGATCAATGTAATCTCTCTGTGCCATCAGTGATGTTGTTAATTACACATCCCGTCGATCATTTCCATTTATGTTTATAATCAACATAATGAGCTCAGAGGAAGCAACATGCTTTCCAGTGAATTCTGCATTACTGGAGCTGTATTTACAAACGACCCTAACGCTCACAACGGTGATGACTGCATCACACTATGGTCCCTCACAAATCTGATTGGTCAACGGTGATGACAGCATCACGCCATGGTCCCTCACAAACCTGATTGGTCAACGGTGATGACAGCATCACGCCATGGTCCCTCACAAACCTGATTGGTCAACGGTGATGACAGCATCACACTATGGTCCCTCACAAACCAGATTGGTCACACACTTACTTTCCCTCCAGAAGCACAGGCACCACTCGGCCGTGGAGACTTGTCCGTCCTTGTAGCTGTCGCAGGAGTTGAAGAACGGCCGGATGCACACCTCATACTTGTCCAGGTTGATGGCTACCAGCTCAGCCTGGGTGGAATTTGTTTGAACCAGACAGACGTTTTATGTCAGAGGACAACACTTGTGAGCACGCTTTCTAAAATATGTTTTTGGGGTGTCCCTGTGGGGTTAAGGTTTTAATAACCATTTCCAGGTTCCAGGTAGAACTCTTCTGTGGAAAGGGTTCTACATGGAACCCAAATCGGTTCTAAGTGAAACCAGGGTTGTTGGGTTTAAGGTGTAGTGTTCAGGGGGTTTCTATGGTAACACAAAGGCCGCTGTATTGATTAAGACTGGGTTACCTGGTCCAGGTACAAATCATAATTAGTGTCCAGCTTGGAGAACATCCAGCCAATAGAATCCTTACAGCTGGCCACCAGGCTCTTGTCCAGGACTGAGGGCAGAAACAGATTAAACAGATTATTATTACAATCATTGAACAATTAGTAAAATAATGCTTTTTAATAATGTGGAATTCTTGAGTAAATTAAATGTAAACAAAAGCCAAATTAAACCTGATTGACAGAACAGTGACTGAAAACAACTTTTAGGTTGGCTCCGTGATGTGCAGAAAAATACACAGCGTGTTGACTTAGAGTATTGAACGAGATGCACAACCTGGCCTCTGTTTTGGTCCTGAGGCCACCAGGAAGCAATGGTGTTTAAGTCATGAACAGATACTGCGTGTGTGACTTTATGGGAGGTAGATCTTGTCCATTTTAATATCTGCAACACAGTTTTTATCTCTGCTACCAATTATGCAACGTCCAATTTGGCAACATCACAGCCCAGTGGCCTCGGTCAAACTGTTGCTCAAGAGGAAGAACCCCTTATGGATGTCCGTCAGGCTACATAATGCCATATCAAACATTTAAACAGTTGCAGACTGTGATAACAATGCAGGTAGGTTTAAATCGGTTGTGTACGAAATGTTTGCACAGCTTTTCAGATGTTTTTCTTTGAGGGAGAGATGAGAAATAGAGGAAGAGATATTTAGAGGGAAAATGATAACAGACAGAGAAACATAAAAGGAGCTAAATAGTGAGGAAACATGGGGGAGTAAGAGAGATAAAAGAGAGATGAGCGGAGGCTGAGTGGATCTTTACCTGAGGCGGTGCCAGATCCGGGCTTTCCTGAGTTGTTCTGTTTAGCGTTTCCATGGAGCAGTTGGAACCAGTCTCTGAGGCGGTCCCCGAGGTCAGCCAGGTCCTGTCCGGTACAGCTCTTTACTGAGGGCAAAAAGCGTACAGTAGGGAAGGTTATCTCACCAGCATGACCTTTTTGTAATATTTGGAGCAGTTGGTGTAGCTCAGTGGTAGAGTGCATGCTTTGTATGTCCTGGGTTCAATCCCCAGCTTCTCCCCAATTTGTTCTTAATCGGCTTACCTGACAAATTTGCTCCCAGAATTACAGCAACTATACATTGAAATAAACAATACCGATGATTTCAATGGATCTGTCAAAGACGTGTGCCTTTGCTTGAAGGGTAGATTGTATGCATGTCCACTTTTGTCAGGTGTGTGTGTGTGACTGTGTGTGTGATTGTATGCGCGTGTGTGTGTGTGACTGTGTGTGTGCGTATGCGTATGTGTGTGTGTGTGTGTACTTGCCATGTTTAGCCTCTGGGTCTACGATGGGGCTGGCAGCGGTGGCACAGGGGCACATGCCCTGGCATTTAACACTCAGCTCCTTCCCTATCAGACAACCTTGCTGCTCCAACTTACACTGGAGTGGAAGAAATGGGAGGGGGATAGGGGAGTGAGAGAGAGAGAGAGTGAGAGTAGGGAAGGAGAAGATGGGAAAGAAGAAGGGGCAGGAGAGTGGAGTCAGAGATTACAGTGCTGTTAGGGGAGAGGGGGGGGTACGTTATCATATAGATACGAGACAAGAGCACATGTTCATACATACACACACTCACATACGCAGGCTCACACACACACACACACACATACACACTCACATTCACAGGCAAACACACACACACACACTCACATACACTGGCTCACACACACACATACACACACTCCCGCGCACACACATGAGGTCACACACGCAGACACACACACGTGGTTCAATGTGCATTTACAAAATTAGCACTGTTGTGATTTCACCTGCAGTGGAGGAGAGAGATGCTGATAAAATATTTATGATGGTGGCTGTTGAAAAAGAGATTGCTCATTCAAATATGTCTCTGTGCTTAGAGTGAGGGTGGGTTGGGAGAGAGATAGAGAGAGAGGAGAGAGTGAGGGTGGGATGGGAGTGAGATAGAGAGAGAGGAGAGAGTGAAGAGAGAGTGAGGGTGGGATGGGAGTGAGATAGAGAGAGAGGAGAGAGTGAAGAGAGAGTGAGGGTGGGTTGGGAGAGAGATAGAGAGAGAGGAGAGAGTGAGGGTGGGATGGGAGTGAGATAGAGAGAGAGATAGAGAGTGAGGAGTGAGTGAGGGTGGGTTGGGAGAGAGATAGAGAGAGAGGAGAGAGTGAGGGTGGGATGGGAGTGAGATAGAGAGAGAGGAGAGAGTGAAGAGAGAGTGAGGGTGGGTTGGGAGAGAGATAGAGAGAGAGGAGAGAGTGAGGGTGGGATGGGAGTGAGATAGAGAGAGAGATAGAGAGTGAGGAGTGAGTGAGGGTGGGTTGGGAGAGAGATAGAGAGAGAGGAGAGAGTGAGGGTGGGATGGGAGTGAGATAGAGAGAGAGATAGAGAGTGAGGAGTGAGTGAGGGTGGGTTGGGAGAGAGATAGAGAGAGAGGAGAGTGAGGGTGGGATGGGAGTGAGATAGAGAGAGAGGAGAGAGTGAAGAGAGAGTGAGGGTGGGTTGGGAGAGAGATAGAGAGAGAGGAGAGAGTGAGGAGAGAGTGAGGGTGGGTTGGGAGAGAGATAGAGAGACAGGAGAGAGTGAGGAGTGAGTGAGGGTGGGTTGGGAGAGAGAGAGATATAGAAAAGAGAGAGACAGGACAGAGATGGACAGAGAGATGGAGAGAGAGAGAGGAACGAGAAAGGACAGACAGAAGGAAAGAGAGAGGCAAGACAGAGAACGGACAGAGACAGAGAAAGAGAGGTAGAAGAGAGAGAGAGAGCGAACAAGCGGTGAATAGAGTGGGAAAGAAGCTGCAGTAAGCAGTCATTTGCAGTCATTTTCCACTGCATCCTAATGCAAGGTCAACAACGACTATACATGAATCAATATAGGGATCTGGAAATGAACAGTACAATAGAGACTGTTCAATAAAGGGGATTGGATATGAGCAGTGCAATAGAGACTGTTCAATAAAGGGGATTGGATATGAGCAGTACAATAGAGACTGTTCAATAAAGGGGATTGGATATGAACAGTACAATAGAGACTGTTTAATATAGGGATCTGGATATGAACAGTACAATAGAGACTGTTCAATATAGGGATCTGGATATGAACAGTGCTATAGAGACTGTTCAATAAAGGGGATTGGATATGAACAGTGCAATAGAGACTGTTTAATATAGGGATCTGGATATGAACAGTACAATAGAGACTGTTCAATATAGGGATCTGGATATGAACAGTACAATAGAGACTGTTCAATATAGGGATCTGGATATGAACAGTACAATAGAGACTGTTCAATATAGGGATCTGGATATGAACAGTACAATAGAGACTGTTCAATATAGGGATCTGGATATGAACAGTACAATAGAGACTGTTCAATATAGGGATCTGGATATGAACAGTACAATAGAGACTGTTCAATATAGGGATCTGGATATGAACAGTACAATAGAGACTGTTCAATATAGGGATCTGGATATGAACAGTACAATAGAGACTGTTCAATATAGGGATCTGGATATGAACAGTACAATAGAGACTGTTCAATATAGGGATCTGGATATGAACAGTGCTATAGAGACTGTTCAATATAGGGATCTGGATATGAACAGTACAATAGAGACTGTTCAATAAAGGGGATTGGATATGAACAGTACAATAGAGACTGTTCAATATAGGGATCTGGATATGAACAGTGCAATAGAGACTGTTCAATAAAGGGATCTGGATATGAACAGTACAATAGAGACTGTTCAATATAGGGATCTGGATATGAACAGTACAATAGAGACTGTTCAATATAGGGATCTGGATATGAACAGTACAATAGAGACTGTTCAATATAGGGATCTGGATATGAACAGTACAATAGAGACTGTTCAATAAAGGGGATTGGATATGAGCAGTGCAATAGAGACTGTTCAATAAAGGGGATTGGATATGAGCAGTGCAATAGAGACTGTTCAATAAAGGGGATTGGATATGAGCAGTACAATAGAGACTGTTCAATAAAGGGGATTGGATATGAACAGTACAATAGAGACTGTTCAATAAAGGGGATTGGATATGAGCAGTACAATAGAGACTGTTCAATAAAGGGATTGGATATGAACAGTACAATAGAGACTGTTTAATATAGGGATCTGGATATGAACAGTACAATAGAGACTGTTCAATATAGGGATCTGGATATGAACAGTGCTATAGAGACTGTTCAATAAAGGGGATTGGATATGAACAGTGCAATAGAGACTGTTTAATATAGGGATCTGGATATGAACAGTACAATAGAGACTGTTCAATATAGGGATCTGGATATGAACAGTACAATAGAGACTGTTCAATATAGGGATCTGGATATGAACAGTGAGACTATAGGGAGACTGTTCAATATAGGGATCTGGATATGAACAGTGCTATAGAGACTGTTCAATATAGGGATCTGGATATGAACAGTACAATAGAGACTGTTCAATATAGGGATCTGGATATGAACAGTACAATAGAGACTGTTCAATATAGGGATCTGGATATGAACAGTACAATAGAGACTGTTCAATATAGGGATCTGGATATGAACAGTACAATAGAGACTGTTCAATATAGGGATCTGGATATGAACAGTACAATAGAGACTGTTCAATATAGGGATCTGGATATGAACAGTACAATAGAGACTGTTCAATATAGGGATCTGGATATGAACAGTACAATAGAGACTGTTCAATATAGGGATCTGGATATGAACAGTACAATAGAGACTGTTCAATATAGGGATCTGGATATGAACAGTACAATAGAGACTGTTCAATATAGGGATCTGGATATGAACAGTACAATAGAGACTGTTCAATAAAGGGATCTGGATATGAACAGTACAATAGAGACTGTTCAATAAAGGGGATTGGATATGAACAGTACAATAGAGACTGTTCAATATAGGGATCTGGATATGAACAGTACAATAGAGACTGTTCAATATAGGGATCTGGATATGAACAGTACAATAGGGATCTGGATATGAACAGTGAGACTGTTCAATATAATCTGGATATGAACAGTACAATAGAGACTGTTCAATATAGGGATCTGGATATGAACAGTACAATAGAGACTGTTCAATATAGGGATCTGGATATGAACAGTACAATAGAGACTGTTCAATATAGGGATCTGGATATGAACAGTACAATAGAGACTGTTCAATATAGGGATCTGGATATGAACAGTGCAATAGAGACTGTTCAATAAAGGGATTGGATATGAACAGTACAATAGAGACTGTTCAATAAAGGGATCTGGATATGAACAGTACAATAGAGACTGTTCAATAAAGGGATCTGGATATGAACAGTACAATAGAGACTGTTCAATATAGGGATCTGGATATGAACAGTACAATAGAGACTGTTCAATATAGGGATCTGGATATGAACAGTACAATAGAGACTGTTCAATATAGGGATCTGGATATGAACAGTACAATAGAGACTGTTCAATATAGGGATCTGGATATGAACAGTACAATAGAGACTGTTCAATATAGGGATCTGGATATGAACAGTACAATAGAGACTGTTCAATATAGGGATCTGGATATGAACAGTACAATAGAGACTGTTCAATATAGGGATCTGGATATGAACAGTACAATAGAGACTGTTCAATAAAGGGATCTGGATATGAACAGTACAATAGAGACTGTTCAATAAAGGGGATTGGATATGAACAGTACAATAGAGACTGTTCAATATAGGGATCTGGATATGAACAGTACAATAGAGACTGTTCAATATAGGGATCTGGATATGAACAGTACAATAGAGACTGTTCAATATAGGGATCTGGATATGAACAGTACAATAGAGACTGTTCAATATAGGGATCTGGATATGAACAGTACAATAGAGACTGTTCAATAAAGGGGATTGGATATGAGCAGTGCAATAGAGACTGTTCAATAAAGGGGATTGGATATGAGCAGTGCAATAGAGACTGTTCAATAAAGGGGATTGGATATGAGCAGTGCAATAGAGACTGTTCAATAAAGGGGATTGG